GGAGTCTTAGGGGCTACATTCTCATATCTTTAATGCTTATTTTGTGACTATATCTTTCAGAGTAGGAGTAAAATTTCTTGATTTTGCATTTTCAGTCACCAAAACAGTCTGCCCATATCCAGCTTGCCATCTTTTATATTTTTCATTTACCATACACTAAAGTTTGGTCCACAACCATGCATAATGGTTAGATGGGGTTGAGTCCAGGAAGACCTCGTTGAGCAGCAATTAGACATTAAACAGATCTGAGAACTAGATCCCAAGCCCTAGGTGAAATGCTGGAGAGGTAGGAAGGATTCAGCAAATCAGACAGAGTTAGGGTATCTTAAATAAAGAGATCAACCTAACTGAATTATTTCTGATATTCTTTATGTCATGCTTGTAATATAACTATAGTTCCTAGTTGCCTCTGCTATCAAACAAAATTTCTACCTTTTCTTTTTTTTTTTAATTTTTTTTTAATTTTATTTAAGGAGAAAAGAAAAAAAAAAGCAGGGAAAGGGTACAGGTTATACAGATTTACAGAAAAAAAATGAACAGTAGGAAATCACTAGTTAATGGATTACATATTGTCATCTTAGAAATAATTGTTCAAGTCACAAAATTAAAGCTTGTAAAGTGGACATTCCATCAATGATACTGCAAACAGTTCTGTTCATTGATCCAATAAAACTCTGTGATATCATTTTCTATCTTATACACTTAAATACACATGCAGTTATATAGTTTGGAGCACTTTCTTTTCCTCTCTTTTGTACCATGACTATTACACATTTTGGGTTTCATTGCTCCCACGGTTCTTATTACTTTTTTGGAAGAGAGTAAAACCAAATGTGACATAACAGAACAGAATCGGTCAAGTCAAAAGGGTGGACATAATAGATAATGTAAAAACATAATACAAGGTGATCAACAATGGTTACCATAATGCCTCCCGCTATCTCTAATAGAATTGCCTATATCGTTAGTTATAATACAATTGAACAAAACAGTAAAGAATAAAACCGACAAAACCAAAACATTGGAGACATTGTAGGTCTTCAAAAGTAGATAAAAGTCAACAAGACTGGGCGTCATAATGAATCTCATTATCTTCACAGCTGATGCCTAAACTTTCGAACCTGATACTATCCAGCAAAACAGAATAGGGGAACATCAGTTAAAAACCAGATGGTGAGAGTAATACAGGGCTTTAAATCAAGGTAATGAAAAGTCAAAGTGGGTTACTATAACATATCCTGCTATTTTTTTTCCTTTAATTAAAAGGATAAAGATAAAAAAGTAAATAATGGAGTGGAGATTGAGATAAAAGAGGGCATAACAACGAAACAGCACAGATCAAAACATAACCATTTAAGCAGAATAGTGTTTCACCACCAGATAATCCTAACTTAAAAGTAGTTACCATACTGTTTCTTTCTTTGAAATCCTTGAGTACAACTTCGTATACTGTAGCATTGAGTATATCAAAACAATATAAAACCATTCAAGAGAATGACAGCATTACAGAGTATTTAGAATCGACTAACAGAAAATGAACAATGGTTTCTGTATAATCTCCTTGTCTTTAAAAGGTTTTTGCTTATACTATCGTACATAATAAAATCCAATAAGATACAGCCTATTTAGACCATTGGAGACAGAAGGACAAAAGCTAGATGAGACTTCAAAACAAGATGATACTAAATCAGTATTACCTATTAAGATGTCATTTTCTCCAAAATAGCTGTTCCTATCATCCAATCTTCTCTGCCTCATTTCTGTTGAGCTCTTTTTCTGTCAGTAGCTGTCAGTTTGTCTTCTTCATTTTGTTCTCTGCTCCATTCGTTGTGGCCTCTCTGCCATTATTTCTGGATTCTTTGTATTTTTCTTTTTTAGAATATCCTGCCATACTCTCTGTAGAGTTGAATTGGTGGTTGCAAATTCCCCCAGTTCCTCTTTATCCTGGAAGCACCTCGTTTTTCCATCAATTTCCAGGGACAGTTGTGCAGGATATCTCAATCTTGGCTGGAGATTATTATCTTTCAAAGCTTGAATTATTTCCCCCCACGCTCTTCGTGATTTGATGGTTTGTGCAGAGAAATCTGCTGTAATTCTGATGGGCGTTCCCTTGTAAGTGGTCTGTTTCTTGTCTCTGACAGCTTTTAATATTCTGTTCTTGTATTGAATTTCTGGACTTTTTATTATTATATGCCTGGGTGTTGCTCTGTTTGGGTTGTAGGTAGCTGGGGTCCTGTATGCCTCATACATCTGAGTATCTTTACCTTTTGCTAAATTAGGAAAATTCTCCTGGATTATTTCTGTGAGTAGCTTTTGTAGTTCACTTGTTTGTGTCCCTACTTCTTCTTTTATGTTCTTAATCCTTAAGTTATGGATCCTCTTATCATCTTCTTGTCTTTGTATTATTGTTGTTTGTTTCTTTGTTATTTTTAAGAAGTTTTTCATTTCATTCTCCCATATTACAAGTCTGCCCTCCAGTTCAGATAGTCTGTCCTTAGTTTCTTTCAAGCTGTTATGCCAGTCTTCTATAGACTTCTTAGTATCTTGGTAGTCCCTTTGAACCTGCTTCACGTGTTCTATGCTTTCTCTGTTTTCTCCATCAAACAATTCTCCCCTTTTTTTCTGTTCTTCCATTCCACCACCTGTTTTTTCTTGGGTGGTACTTAGCATTTCTCTAACTATTCTGCATACTTCTAGCTTCAGGTCGTTGATAACTTCATTCCTGAATTGGTCTATGAGGCTCTCTATATGGCGCCTTATGTGTATTGGTGCGGTGTCTGCTATTGCCTGTTTCTCAGAATTGGGGGCCAAGGAGCCTTTCTTGTTGCTGCCTCTTCCCATGCTGCCTCTTCTTCTCTGTTCCTTATATATGCAAGCTTATATAAGAGGCCCAGCTTCTCTCCCAGTCAGCCACAGCCTGATCGAATTGCGCCAGTTAGGTGTTCCCGCTCACCGCTGCACACCAGCTTTTCCATCCTTATTCTCTTGGTCCTTAACTATTCTAATGAAAAAATCTTTTTACTGAGAACAAACTACCCACAACAAACGTAAGATCCCAAGAAAACATAAGCAAAGATTAGTATATGCATAAAGAACAACAACTTATTTCATTTTATTAAAGAGATAGCAATCTTAATGAAGAAATAAATCCTTGGAACACAGGAAGATGTAGAGGTTGATCTAAACAGATAGTCTGTAGTTTACCTAAAATTGGAAACCATGTTCATCTGATCCCAAAGCCCATCCTCTTTCAATGATAACATAGTGTAAGAAAACATTCATTCTGCAAGAAAGAGGGTACTGTTTATAGAATGAGATCCATGGAAGAACTACAGAAACATCCAGAACTAGGTACATCCACAGAAATACAGAAAGATAATGGAAAAGTCAAGCAGAAGGAATATCATTTATTCACAGAAAGATACAGAATGTCTTGAAACAATTGTCCCATTTATGATCTTTATCATCACTTTATTTACTGTTTTTGAAAGATAAATGATTCCACTTCCTTCTCCTCTTGGTTTTCTCTTAGTGGAGAAATCATAGCCATGCTTAGATCTCACCGACAGACTGTAGATTTTTATTTTTACTTCCTGACTTCTAGTCACAAATCCCTTCAAAGACACTCGTTCATATTCACTCCGTGTGCTTACACAGACCTCATTGCTCCTGCTCCCATCTGTGCTAAAATTATTGTACCTGCTAAACCCAAGGCGCATCAATCTATGTCATTATTAAAACTATTAAAATACCCAGTTTTGATTTGAAGTCTTATAGAACTCCATCCCATGGTGTCAAATCAGAGAATGTGATTAGGCTTCTTTCTAACAACCATTAGCTTCTAATATTCCCATGCAGATTTTGATTGTCTTATTCTCATGAATGTACATCTATATTTGACTATTACCTTTTCTCAGAGACAGGGACTTGCTATGCAGTTCAGGCTGGCCTCTAATTCACGGTGATCCCCTTGCCTCAGCCTCCCAAGTGCTGGGATTACAGATGAATGTCATCGTACCTGGTTGGCTAGTCTCTTTCTTTAAAAATATCATTGTCTCACTAACTGACCAGATTTATTGCAACTCTCTGGGAGATAGATTAATATATACATGCATACATATACAAACAAAACAATGTTAACTGATACTAAAAAATTTTATATTTTTATAACATGTATTTTTTATTTTGTCTTATTAATACATATTAAAGATACTATCTATGAAGTTCAATGTGTTTCCATGCATGCAGTTTTATTGATCATATCTGACTACATTTTCTCCTCCACCTTCTCAGAAGAAATTCAGGTTTGTTTGTTTTTGCAGTACCAGGGATCAAACCCATGAACCTGAACATGCAAGGCAAGCATGTGACAACTGAGCTATCCCACAGCTCCAATCGTTGAGCTCAATGATGATGTTGTTTCACAGCTGATTTACTGTATCACAGCAAGAGGAATTTGCCACCAATATTAAAGTGATATTATATGCTTTTTTCTCTTTTCTCCAAAAAAATATACAGTGGCATATGTAAAATGTCCAAAGTAATTTGATGAAATTGTACAATCTACTTGTGATACTAATAAATCTTAGATTTGAATATTCACTGTTTAAATGTGGTTTAAAGTTTAAAATGTAGTTTAAAGCCTCCTCATTGATAGGCAATATAGTTTTTTCTCTTTAATGTAATGGCACCAGAACTTTTAAAGGCATTCAATGTGGGCATGTGTTTTCTAATATGCAAGGCTTTTTATATGTAAGTATATATAAATATAAAGATGAAATTAACTCAAGTGGCAAAATAGACAAAACTTGGTAACATGTTCAAAAGAAGGAGTTTGGGACTTTAAACAAAAATATCCTTTAAGAAATATGTTAAGATGAACTCAAATTGCAGAAAGTTATATTTAAAATGCATAGTATTTTATGAATGCCAAAATATGATCATGTTTTCCAGGAAAATGTACCTTTTCTTTCATTAACCAGTAGCATAATGTTTTCCAGGTAATCTCTGTTCAGAAGAAATGCTGTGGTCTTTCTCTTTACCAACAAAAACTGGACACAAGAAACTATGGAGATGAATGTATAGCCTCCTCACAGTTGAAAGGCATTTAAGGATATACGCTTCCCACAGAAGAGAAATAACCAACAGCTTCTCCACATCATATATTGGAACCTGAGAAACATGAACCTCACGAACTGTACCACAGATGCCAGCATGGTTGTAAGGCCCAAGACAGTGACTGAGAAGATGCTTATTTGTATGACTCTAGTGATAATCACCACGCTAACCATGTTGCTGAACTCTGCTGTAATCATGGCCATCTGCACCACCAAGAAGCTCCACCAGCCCGCCAACTACCTGATCTGCTCTCTGGCAGTGACTGACCTCCTGGTGGCAGTGCTCGTCATGCCGCTGAGCATCATGTACATTGTCATGGACAGCTGGAGGCTGGGCTACTTCATTTGTGAAGTGTGGCTGAGTGTGGATATGACCTGCTGCACCTGTTCCATCCTGCATCTCTGTGTGATCGCGCTGGACAGGTACTGGGCCATCACCAATGCTATTGAATATGCCAGGAAGAGGACAGCCAAAAGGGCTGGCCTGATGATCCTCACTGTGTGGACTATCTCCATCTTCATCTCCATGCCCCCTCTGTTCTGGAGGAGCCACCGTCAACTCAGCCCACCCCCCAGCCAGTGTACCATCCAGCATGACCATGTCATCTACACCATTTACTCAACATTCGGGGCATTTTATATCCCTTTGACTTTGATCCTGATTCTATATTACCGGATTTACCACGCGGCCAAGAGTCTTTACCAGAAAAGGGGATCAAGCCGCCACTTGAGTAATAGAAGTACAGATAGCCAGAATTCTTTCGCAAGTTGTAAACTTACACAGACTTTCTGTGTGTCTGACTTCTCCACCTCAGATCCTACCACAGAGTTTGAAAAGATCCATGCTTCCATTCGGATCCCCCCCTTTGACAATGATCTCGATCACCCTGGAGAACGCCAGCAAATTTCCAGTACCAGGGAACGCAAGGCAGCGCGCATCCTCGGACTGATTTTGGGTGCATTCATTTTGTCTTGGCTTCCATTTTTTATCAAAGAGTTAATTGTAGGTCTGAGCATTTACACTGTATCCTCTGAAGTGGGTGACTTTTTGACATGGCTTGGTTATGTTAATTCTCTGATCAATCCATTGCTGTACACAAGTTTTAATGAAGACTTTAAACTGGCTTTTAAAAAGCTCATTAGATGCCGAGAGCATACTTAGTTTGTAAAAGGCCAAAAGGCATGACTTTTTTCAGAGCCCCTGCAGTACATAGGGGTAGGGGGTGCAAAGTGTTAATTCTTGAACATGCTTGGTTCAGGAGTTTGTAAGTATGTGAGATCTGTTTATTTCTTTGTTTTGTCCTTTCTGTTTCAGTTTGTTATTGTACTGTCTTGTACCTCTGGTCTTATCTGTGGTACATAATTTGAAATAAATATTATCATACCAAAACATAAATTACATAGAAATAATAATGAAATGACATAATAAATATTTTTATGTTTATTCTAGATATTTCAGCTAAACCTGCAATTAAATAATACCCACCTAAATCTGTATTTACAGAACTTTTTATTGCTTATAAATCAAATATCTGATAACTTGCTCTTATGTGGCATTAAATCTGAGGTTATAGCTCTATACACACACATCTTCCACTGGGAATTGCATGGTTTCACTGAGAATAAAAGGAAAGTGACATCCTATCATCTCGACTTGCGGATCTAAACTGAAATCTTTTACTCTAGCACTGTGACTGCACAGCCTGTTCTTTCCAAGCAAATAGTGATTTTTTTTATTTAAAGAAAGACAAGACAAAACAGAAAATGAGAAGAAATAGTACGTACTTTCAAAGAAAAAAAATAAACATAAATCACTAGTTAATGTTTACATATTGTCCCCCCACAAATAATTGTTCAAGATACAAAAGTGGAGCATATAAATGGGAATTCAACCAGGGAGACTGCAAACAGTTCTGTTTAACTATCCAACAAAATGCTAAGTAATATGGCGATCAATCCTATACACTTAGACACGTACGCATTTATCCATACCTTCATTTATGTTGAGAGCAAACAAAACATAGCAGATTAAAAGCATTCTGAACAAAGATTAATAGTATTGCTGGATTTCACATCATAACACTCCAGAATCAGCACTGGGTACTGCAGTGCCCCTTTTTTTCCTTCAAAATATTTGTTCATTTCATCATGTGTCATAAATCAGTTCTCATAAACTGTTCATAGGTTTTACACAAGCATGAGTCTTAACATGTATTTCTATCCTTTCTATATTAGAGGGAGAAACAGGACAGAACAAAACAAATTTCTATAGACACATAAAACTAAAAAGACATGTAAAACTGCTGTACAAGGACTTCTATCATGGTTACTGTGCTATCTCTTGTTATCATCAACAGAATTGGTTATATTGTCAGATAAAGTATAATTGAATATATCAGTTCACTACAGAATTAATAGAAATACAACTTTGTAAATAATGCAGAGCTAGAAAAACAGGTAACAGTCAAATCAGAATGGGTATCGTAGTGAATTATTGTCATTGTCAGTATAGTTGTCTATACTCTCTGACTTGATATTATCAACCGATCAGTTTTGAGTAAAATCTGTCATAATAAGCAGCAATCAAACAAATCAGAATTAACTAAGATCAGTCAAGATACAACAGTATAAGTCATGCAAGGATCTGGATTAAGTTAATAAGAAATTAAAGATGACCACTGTGCTATATCCTGATATCTTTGGGACAGCTGTCTGTGCCCTCAGATCCAGTGCTTGTATACAAACTGGGATAGAACAAGTTCCACCCAAGCAGAGTGGTGCAAGTAATATGGGTTTTAATTCCTGATACACTATTAGCAATATCTTCTGCTGTCTTTTTTTTAAAGAATATTCCCCCCCCTCATCACTCCCCCAAAATGTACTTGTATTTTTGGGTCTCCCCAACACTCTCGGTTTTTATTAGGGGGCAACCTGCTATTTACCTAAGTGTGTCTGAGTTTTCTCACTCCTGGACTTGATCTCTAGTTGTATTTCTTCACTTACTAAAGCCTGTCTTGTCAACCTATCAATAAGTACTGGTCTATTTGCCTCTATTACCCTATAGTTCCCTATCACACTGAGTTCTGCTTTCTCATATTTGATTTTGGTCCATATAACCTTCTTCATGTTAATTATATTCCCTATAAAGAGCATCTCAGTGGACCCTACCTCTTGATCCACTTTGCCTGTGATTCTTTCTTTTTCCCTTAAGTTAGTATATCTAGGCCATCTATAATAGAAATTATATCCAACCTTCTCTCCCTCATTTCTGTTGGGCTCTTTTTCCATCATTAGTTGTCTGTTTGTCTTTTTCATTTCACTTTATGCACCATTCATTGGGGCCTCTCTTCCACTGTTCCTGAAATCTTGGTGCTTTTCTCTCTATTTAGAATGTCCTGTAGTATTCTCTGTAGAGTTGGGTTGGTGGTTGCGAATTCCTCCAGTTCCTCTTTATCTTGGAAGCATCTTGTTTCTCCATTAATTTCTAGGGACAATTGTGCAAGATAGATCAACCCTGGCTGGAGGTTATTTTCTTTTAAGGCTTGGATTATTTTGCCCCACACTGTTCTTAATTTGATGGCTTGTGCCAAGAAGTCTGCTGTAATTCTGATGGGCTTTCCCTTGTAAGTGATCTTTGTAGCTGTCTCTGACAGCTTTTAATATTCTGTTCTTATATTGGACTTCTGGAAAATTGATTATTATATGCCTGTTTTGGTTGTAGGTGGCTGGAGTTCTGTATTCCTCATAGATCTGAGTATCTTTACCTTTTCCCATACTAGGGAAGTTCTCCTTGATTAATTCTGTGAATAGCCTTTGCAGTTCATTTGTTTGTATCCCTGCTTCTTCCTTTAACATTCTTAAGTTATAGATCCTCTTATCATCTTCTAGGCTTTGTATTGTTACTGCTTGTTTCCTTGTTATTTTAAAGAAATTTTTCGTTTAATGGTCCCACGTTTCAAATCTGTCCTCCAGTTCAGATAATCTATCCTTAGTTTCTTTCAAGCTGTCATGCCAGATTTCAATAGAGTTTTTAGTTTCCTGGTAATCTCTTTGAACCTGCTTTATGTATTCTAAGTTTTCTCTATTTTCTCCATCTAACAATTCTCCCCTTTTTTTCTGTTCTTCCATTCTACTATCTGTTTTTTCTTGGGAGGTGCTTAGCATTTCTTTAACTATTCTACTTATATCTTGCTTTACTTGGTTAAACACTTCACTTTTGAACTCATTTATGAGGTCCAGGAGATATCACTTTATGTCTATTGGTGCCATGCCTGATATTGCATGTTTTCTGTCCTCATTCTCCTTTGTATTTACCTTTCCTGGATCAGTGTTCTCAGGATTGGGGACTGAGGACCCTTTCTTGTTGCTCTCTTCCCATACTTTTTGTTCCTTCCATACAAGTGTATATAGGAGGCCCCGTTTCTTTCTTTGTTGGTTACAGTTTGTTTGAATCATGCCAGCTAGGTGTTCCCACCCACTGCAGTGTACTAGGAAGACACAGACCAGGGCAGCCTATGCTGGACCCGCCCCTCCAGGTCAGTCAACCTGCTGAAGGCTTCACTGCATTTGGGTGCACTGCCAGGTGTAGGGACTTGATTTGGGCTAGCCTATTTGGTCTTAGTCTGGTGTTTCCCAGGTTGAGTGCACCCCACCAATCCCGCTTGAGAAGGGAGTAGCAGGCTGAAGTCACCACTGCTCCTTGTTCTAGCCTATCTGCCCAGTCCCAGAATGTCATCTCTTGGAGCTCCCCCTTCTCTATGGAAAAGTTTTTTATTCTTCTCACTCACTGCAGGTCGGTGCAGGGTTCTCCGCCAGCTCTGCTCTCAATTCGGTTCACCAACTTCCACCCTCCATGCGAACGCCTCTCCAGTGAGTTGAAGTTGGCGGGCTATCCTGGCTGTGCTAGTTCAAGCACAGCAGTGGCAGTGAGTCCAAGCAGGGAGTTCAAGCAGCAGCACTGAAACTGTAGCTGTTCCAATCGCATCACTGGGACTATATTTTTAATTGGTTTTTTTCAGCTTAATTTGTTCTTGGATCGGGAGGGTATATCTCCCTCTGTTTGGGCCTCCCCAAGCTGTATTATTTTTGGAATCTAAGTTGACTATCTCAGACAGCCTCTGTTGCTTGCTGTTATCTATCTGCCATCTTTGGGACAAGCAAATAGTGATGTTTTTTAGATCACAATTAAATAAACTTCCTAATTATGTAAGAAGAATCTATGATGAATGCACTGCCACTTTTACTAGTCTTTTACTATGAATATGAAACATGAGCAAATAAGAAATCATTGAAATCTTTCATCATTATGTTGCTGACAAACACACTGGACTTCCTCCTGTTCAAAACACATCCCATAGATTCCCACTCTGGCAGGATTCAGGAAGCAATTTAACATTTGGAATACTCCTAAGAAGTTTAATGGGATAACCAAATGCATTATATTGAGGATTATTACTTATTAAACAGTCATTCATACATTTATAAATAAAAAACTGAAAATCTGTTTATAGAAAAGATCACCATTCAGGAAATGAGCATAAAATGGTGTCTCCTGACATTCTTGTAGCTTCCATGCTAGACTTCAGCCTGAGGCCAGGATAATGCAAGTGAGAGGTGAGACCACGGAGAGTGGTCTGACCCAACCTCTCCTGACCAAGAGTGACTGCTCCAGTCTATAGAGGATTTCACCATGAAAACTTAAAGAATGGTAACAGGAGGACTGAATTGTGGAGATTCTTGTATACTTCCAACTAAGTGACTGCTGTAAGCCTCTGGCCCTCACCTCACTCAAAGCCTCTCCCAACCTCTTCACTCTTCTTTGTTTACTAAGAAGACACTGATTTGGCTGCTCTATACCTCCATTTTTTTAATCCCTTAAATCTATGCTCTCTCATCTTTTTTCCAAGCTTGCTTTTATCCCTCCTGCCCCAGAGCTTCCCTAATCTCACTTATATTTTGCTCACACCATTTGCATACTAAATCAGCTTTCTCTGGCAGTACTTCCCCAAAAGCTCCTACTTTTGGGAAAGTACTGCCAGAGAAAGTTGATTTCTGATTTCAGAGAGTTAGGGAGTTCTGTTTATTATTCCACTGATCTGCTTCCACTTCTCACTGCTTTTTCATATTTTGCCATCTTAGTATAGATGGCAGTTCTCCCCAGTCTGACCTTCCAAAGGCCACTGGTGACTTGCCAACAGGCAAATACAGTGGCCTTCCCTCTGACCTCACCTACCTCTCATTTGCTTATCAATTAAAACAGTTGACCACTCTTTTCTTAAGTCTATGCCTCCTGGGATATTTTGTTCTCCTTGTTCTCCAACTTCCTTCTCACCTCCTCGATCTTTTTTTTTTTTAAAGCAAAACTGAAACAAGGATAGAAATAATACAGAACTTCAAAAAATATCAGTAAAAATTCACCACTAGTTAATAAATAATATATTGTTATCTGAGAAGTAGTTGTTCCAGTTACAAAATCTAGGCTTATAAATAAA